TAAATTTATGGCAGTCTATTTAATTGACTCATTTATTATATCATCTATCCATTAATTTTAATTATTTTATAATATTTAATTTATTTCATTTAAAGAAAAGTTTTCTTTTTCTTTTTATCCACTATTAATAGTTCACTCATGTAATTCTTAATCTTGTTTTTGAATTATTACTTGAAGTACCATTAACATACGTAAAAATGTATACTAAATGCTAAATCTTGGCAGTTGTATAATAAAGGGAAGCAACAAAAAAAAAAAACAAAAAATATATATATTATTCAAATTTAATTTTTTACATAGAATAATATTTATATAAAGTCAATAAACAAATTTTTATAAATAAATAAAATTTACATTGTTTGATGTATGTAAATCAAGTTAATTTAGTTAGACTTCGTATTCTCTAGAAATATGGTAATATTTATATCAAGTAAATAAACAAATTTTATAAATAAATAGAATTTTACATCGTTCAATGTATGTAAATCAAGTTAATTTAGTTACCATTTATATATTTATGTACATCACTAGGGTTCACAGGATACAATATTCGTAGAGTGTGATTTTCGAAGAAACTAAGCACAGAATTTTTAACTAACGCGAGTTAAGCTGTAGATGTAGGAATATGGAGTTATAACTATGATTCCCCAGCGCACGGAACTTATTGAAGCACAAGCTGTGTGTAAATACAGGATACAATATTCGTAGAGTGTGATTTTCGAAGAAGCTAAGCACAGAATTTTTAACTAACGCGAGTTAAGCTGTAGACGCAGGAATATAGAGCTATAACTGTGATTCCCCAGCGCACGGAATTTGTTGAAGCACAAGCTGTGTGTAAATACAGGATACAATATTCGTAGAGAGTGATTTTCGAAGAAGCTAAGCACAGAATTTTTAACTAACGCGAGTTAAGCTGTAGACGTAGAAATATGGAGTTATAACTATGATTCCCCAGCGCACGGAATTTGTTGAAGCACAAGCTGTTTGTAAACACAGGATACAATATTCGTAGAGTGTGATTTTTGAAGAAACTAAGCACAGAATTTTTGAATAACGCGAGTTAAGCTGTAGATGTAGAAATATTGAGTTATAACTATGATTCCCCAGCGCACGGAATTTATTGAAGCACAAGCTGTGTGTAAATACAGGATACAATATTCGTAGAGTGTGATTTTCGAAGAAACTAAGCACAGAATTTTTAACTAACGCGAGTTAAGCTGTAGACGCAGGAATATAGAGCTATAACTATGATTCCCCAGCGCACGGAATTTTTTGAAGCACAAGCTTGTTGTAAATACAGGATACAATATTTGTATGGTGTGATTTTCAAAGAAGCTAAGCACAGAATTTTTAACTAACGCGAGTTAAGCTTGTAAGGATGGTATTTTACACAAAATTTCCACCTACATAAACGTGCACTGAAAACAATAACAACACGAACTAAAACACACCAATACAACACAGTTTTTTATAAAACAACACACTTTATATATTTATATTTAAACTTGGAAAAAGTGGACTCACTGGTAATAAATGTTGCAAATATCTGGAATTAAATAGATTAATCATTATTTAAAATATTTAGTCAAAAACAATTTACCAAAACCCAAACCGCTTACAAGCCTTAATAACACCACAAACTAAGCTGAAATGATATTGATATGAAATATAAAAATATAATTAAATAAATGAAAAATAAACTCACCTTATTTATTTGTTAATTATATTTCTTATTTTTATGTTGTAAATTTGATGAAAATTTGCGTTTTTAATATTTTATATTATTGTAACAAACAAAATAAATAAAAACCACCACCGATCGAATGTAGCTTTAAAACACTGTTGTGAGTTAAATATTTATTTTATTTAATTTCACGTTTTTGGCAGTTTTTCCGTAAGGTAGTGTGTACGATCTTAGGTGATCGTACATTTTCCCTAAAAATACGCAAGGTTATTTGCATCTGGGCAGTTATTGACTAGAACCAAAGCATCAGACCGTCAGTTCGACGATAAGAAATGCTGATTTTTGGTATTTGGTTAGTAATTGGTGTCATGATGTAAGTGACTTTGAAAATGTTAAATACGGAAGAATTGCAAAAATATGTAGAGCATTCTTGTAATAATAAAAACTTTGCAAATTTAGCAAAGTAAATTATGAAACTATGGAAAAGCCCAATAAGGTAACTAGGGTAATTCTAAGCTCATATATTGGATTTTTGCATCAAGTTTAGGTATATAAGATGGGTTCAAAATTTGAACTGCCTCTTAGAAATATAAAGTGGTTAAGCGTAGTAGCGCTGACAAAGTAAATTATGAAACTATGGAAAAGCCCAATAAGGTAACTAGGGTAATTCTAAGCTCATATATTGGATTTTTGCATCAAGTTTAGGTATATAAGATGGGTTCAAAATTTGAACTGCCTCTTAGAAATATAAAGTGGTTAAGCGTAATAGCGCTGACTCATAATTTGAAAACAATTGAGTCGTGTGTTTCAAAAAATTAAACAAAAAAATATATTTGTAAAAATTTAAAGAAAATAAATAATTTAAATAAAATAAAATGTAAAACTAAACGTGACGTTGTAAAATAGTTATAAACATTTATATTAAGGAATTTAGTTGCTTTGACTAAACAAAAATAAAAAGAAAACTCTATACAAAAGAAAGCAACTTGAAATTGGAATAAAAAGTGAAATAAAAGAATATCTACAGAGAAAACAAATCAATGACTTTTTCTTGAAACATAAAAAATAGTGAAGTTTACTTAACTGTATAACCAAATAAACTATATAACTTGACAAACAAAAATTACAACTAAGAAAAAAAAGACATATACGATTATAGTTAGTAAAAAGATACAACTAACTGAAGTTAAATAAAAGATACAACATTTAGTCCAGATTTTGAAATAAAGGATACAATATTTGGCGCAGTCACGTCTTACATCACAGAAAACCACAACACGTTTTGTAAGAATCAAAACAAAGCAGCGTTAACATAAGAAAACAACAACTGCCAAAAATATTCGCCTTAAGAGAAGCTCAAAGAGAAGTTAAATGCACAAGCTGAGTACCGCATAAAACATGAAATAGAAAATCAGAACGGCAAAAGTAAACAAGAATTACGTGAGATCAGCTGTAAATAAAATGATACGCTACACAAAAGCTCGGTCGAGTGTGTATATAAGACGCGCATTTTACTTATGCGGGCACTTGGTTTATAATTTCAAAGGCACATACACCTTGGAAGACTAAGTCAACTAAGCTCTAGAGGCACAAAGGCATAATAACTATTAAGACACGACAAGTGGTTTCACGTCGACTGGGTCCAAAATAGTTGCTAAAATTGAAATACATAAGCAAATTTTATATGAAAGAAATATCTAAATCAAGGTATAATAATTATTAAGGCACGACAGGTGGTTTCACGTCGACTGTGTCCAAAATAGTTGCCAAAGTTAAAATACATAAGGATATTCTATATGAAAGAAATATCTAAATCAAGGTATAATAACTATTAAGATACGACAGGTGGTTTCACGTCAACTGGATCCAAAATAGTTGCTAAAATTAAAATTCATAAGGATATTTTATATGAAAGAAATATCGAAATCAAGGTATAATAACTATTAAGGCACGACAGGTGGTTTCACGTCGACTGTGTCCAAAATAGTTGCCAAAGTTAAAATACATAAGGATATTCTATATGAAATAAATATCTAAATCAAGGTATAATAACTATTAAGATACGACAGGTGGTTTCACGTCTACTGTGTCCAAAATAGTTGCTAAAATTAAAATTCATAAGGATATTTTATATGAAAGAAATATCGAAATCAAGGTATAATAATTATTAAGGCACGACAGGTGGTTTCACGTCGACTGTGTCCAAAATAATTTCAAAAATTTATATATTTATAAGGGTATTTTATATAAAAAATATCCCAAGGAAGGAATAATTACTATGAAATACTGAGACACGACAGGTGGTATCACGTCGACTGTGTCGAAAGTAATTCTCTGTAATACGCAGAGGAGACCAACTATAACGAAAATCTCCAAACGAAGGCATAGTTGTAGTAAAATACTTGAAGACGACAGGTGGTCTCACGCCGACAGTATATAATGTAATTCTACAAGATCCAGAATAAGCCCACTAATAAATCCCACACTCTTAGATAAAGTCAGAAGAATACAACACCAGGGACCTGAAGGAGGAAGATCATTCAAGGACATTCAAGCACCTAAATTTCTTAAAAGATATCTCCATTTAATTATTTAATTTTTTCCCCCTTAAGAAAGAAAAGCTACATATCCAAATTTTGTTTATATATATGTGGTTTCACCCACCGATTGTCCAAATAAAAGAAGACTTGTAAGACGAAATTCCACTAATCGTGCACTTTTATTAGTTTTAAATTATAAATTAAATGAACTAAAATTTCAGAAACAAATTACAAAACTTTTACACACAACCAGCAGCAAAATACTGTTCATACATTTTATTACGCATTGCACACACGTGTTTTCTACTCTACTCTTCTGTTCGTTCTGTCCTTCGTTCGTTGTGTCATTTTCTGTCAGTGTTACCCTTTGCCGTCTTTATGTCAGTGTTGCCCTGACAAAGGGTTGTCTGTCGTTATTGTGTCTGGGCACCATTCCTACATATATATATATATGTAAAGAATAGAGTTTTATTAAGTTATAATAATAAAGAATAGAGCTTTATTAAGTAATAATAATAAAGAATTATATCAACAAATAATTAAAAAAAATGCGAGAGCACAACTGCTTGCACAACTACTACTGCTAGGGTTGCCATATATGTTCTTCTTACATATATATATATATACATGTCGGCAGTGATGCCAAACTAGTATGTTTGGATGTGGTCGCTACTCGCAGGTAGGTGGCGCTTGTGCTTCTCACTCACAAACAGAGGGCGCTATCGCGCTGAATAAAGAAATGTGTAAGAATAGCTGAATCAGCTGATGGGTGGTAGCACTGAATGAGAAAGGAGGCGTCAGAATTGGTTAATAAGCGAGAACGAACGCATCGCATCATGGCGAGTCGGCGGTTAAGAAATGCAAATGCGACATCAGAAGTGGGATCAGAATCTTTTGAAGGATGGCAGCAAATAATAGCTCGTCAAAATCAAAGTTTGGAAGCAATTGCGCATGCGTTACTCGGTCGGAATAGCGAAATACATTTACCTGAATTTGACCCAGCAACTGAGGGCGCTGATGCTCATGCTTGGGTTGTGATGGCTGATATGGTCGTTGGTGAAAATTCGCTGCAAGGAAGTGCACTATTGTCTGCATTAAGCAGAGCCATGAAAGGGGCAGCGTCAGTGTGGCTATCACAAATATCACACACGGGGCTAACGTGGGCCGAATTTAAAGAATGTTTTAAAACACGGTTTGAAATTTACGAATCAGCAGCCGCTTTTATTTTAAACATGAACAATAAAAGACCAAAAGAAGGTGAATCTATTGCAGCGTATGCAGCGACTCTGGCAGCGACTCTGATTTCGCGTTGGAGTGATATGTCGATAGAAAATATTGCTGTGTCTATCGTTTTGGCGCATGTTGCACAATTTGACAATCGTTTGCGTCGATTAGCGCATACGTGTGATGCATACACTTGTAAGTCGCTTCAGCAAGAACTAAAAGCAATTTCTATAAAGCGAAAGATGATCGACAGTGCTGGTGACAGTGCGCCTAAACGGCAGAGTTCCAGTTCAGCTGCAATAAAGTGTTTTCGCTGTGGTTCGAGTGGCCATAAAGCTTTCCAGTGTAAAACGTCATCAAGCAATGATAAGGCAGTAACTTGTTATAAGTGTAAACAAGTGGGCCACTATGCTTCTAAATGTAAAAAAAAATGAAAGTAAACATATCGAGAAACGGGTGGAAATGTGTGCCGTTGGAATGCCAATGGGGACTCTGACACATGAGGACAAGAAATTCAATTTTTTATACGATTCTGGTGCTGAATGTTCTTTAATGAAAAAGAGTGTAAGCAGTAAATTTAGTGGTAAGAAAATTTTTAATAATGTAAATGTAACCGGCATCGGACAGGCTAGTATAGAATGCACTATGCAAATTGTTTCAGAAATACAAATTAGTGGAGTTTGCTTAGAAATAGTGTTCCATGTACTGGCAGATCATTGTTTGCGAAATGATATTTTAATAGGGCGTGAAATTTTAGACCTTGGACTTACTATAACAATGACTGCAGACACTTTAGTGGTGTCAAAAATAAAAGAAGTCAGCACATGCAGTTCAACGCAGTCGTTTGAAATAAATGATAGTAGTATAGATACAGATATTTTACCCGCTGCGAGAACCAGATTGATGGACATTTTAAATACGTTTAAAAGAAATTTTATAGATGGTATTCCTCAATTTCGCGCCAAGACTGAGCCTATGGAAATACGTCTTAAAGACCCTACTAAATGTGTGTTTCGTAGACCGTATCGCTTAAGTCCCGAAGAACGCCAAGTAGTGCGTAATCAAATTGATGAATTGTTAGAAATGGGAGTTATACGTCCAAGTGTATCTCCTTTTGCAAGTCCCATACTTTTAGTCAAGAAAAAAGATGGTACCGATAGAATGTGTGTTGATTACCGACAATTGAACGATAATACTGTACCTGACAGGTATCCATTGCCTTTAATTTCAGACCAGATCGACAGATTGAGTGGATCTCGTTTCTTTTCTATGTTAGATATGGCATCGGGATTTTATCAAATTCCAGTCCACGAAAATTCTATCGAGTATACTGCCTTTATCACTACTGAGGGACAATTTGAACATCTGTCAATGCCGATGGGCTTACGAAACGCCCCATCCGTATTTCAGCGAGCTTTAGTTGCAGCTTTGGGTGACCTGAGCCGAACATTTGTAATTGTGTACATGGATGATGTAGTTATTACTGCCTGTACTGTCGAAGAAGCCCTAAATAGGTTGAAAATAGTGCTCACAGTTTTAGTCGAAAAGGGGTTTTCTTTCAATATGAAGAAATGCAAGTTTTTAAAAAGTAGCATTCAATATTTAGGTTTTGAAATTAGAGATGGGAAGCTTCGACCTAATCCTAGGAAAATAGAAGCTCTCACTGCTCTTTCCCCTCCGGAAACGGTTAGCCAATTGCGACAGTTTATAGGACTGGCTTCGTACTTTAGAAAGTTTGTGCCCAAATTCTCCCAAGTAATGACACCCTTATATGCGTTAACATCGGGAAATGGGAAAATTACTTGGAATTCTGATCTTGAGAATGTAAGACAAAGAATTATTACAATTCTAACTAATGAACCTGTTTTGATGATTTTCGATCCTGAATGTCCTGTGGAGTTACATACTGACGCAAGTTCCATCGGTTACGGTGCTATCCTTATTCAGAAAAAGAATAATGATCGTCATGTCGTTGCTTATTTTAGTAAACGAACAACTGTGTCAGAATCGAAATATCATTCGTATGAGTTGGAAACTCTTGCTGTAGTTAATGCAGTCAAGCACTTCAGGCACTATTTATATGGCCGAAAGTTTGTAGTAGTAACCGATTGTAATTCCCTTCAATCATCTCGAAGTAAACTCGATCTTACCCCTAGAGTGCATCGCTGGTGGGCATTTCTTCAAGCATTCGATTTCGATATAGTTTATAGGAACAGTAAACAAATGAGTCATGTTGATTTCTTATCAAGAAATCCTATACTCAAATTGTCCAACGAGCGTCCTGCTCGGATTAAACAGAAACAAATCAATTTAGTAGAGTTAACCGAAGATTGGTTAAAGGCCGAACAAGAAAAAGACATTGACATTGCAAAGATAGTGTCCGATTTTCTCAATCATAAATTACATAGTGACATCGAAAAAACTTATGAGTTTCGATCGGGCATTTTGTATCGTAAGATACAACGTAAGAAAAAGAATCGCTGTTTACCTATTCTTCCCAAAGCGCTTAGGTGGTCCATTGTCAATAACATCCATGAATCGTTGATGCATTTAGGAACTGAAAAAACTCTTGAAAAATTATATGAGTTTTATTGGTTTGAGGGCATGTCTAAGTTTGTTACAAAATTAGTTGGAAATTGTGCAACATGTAAAATTTGTAAATCTAATGCAGGAAAGAGTCAGATAGAACTCCACCCTATTCCAAAACTAGCCATTCCATGGCACACGTTGCACATTGATGCAACAGGTAAACTAAGCGGTAAAAACGATCGAAAAGAATACATTTTCGTTCACATAGATGCTTTCACAAAATATGTTTTACTGCATCACACCTTTAATATTGATTCAATTAGTAGTATAGAGGCTCTAAGAAAGAGTATTTCACTGTTTGGTGCCCCTAACAGAATAATTGCAGATCAGGGTCGTTGTTTTGCAAGTAAGGAGTTTAAAGATTTTTGCGTTGCACATAACATTAGACTTCATTTAATTGCTACAGGTAGCCCTAGAGCTAACGGACAAGTTGAGCGAATAATGAGTACTCTCAAAAACATACTTACTGCAGTGGAAACCACTGATATTTCCTGGCAAGATGCCTTACCTGAGGTTCAGTTAGCTCTCAACTGCTCAATGAATCGGGTAACTCAAGCGAGCCCCCTTGAAATCTTAATTGGAAAGTCGGCTAGACCTCTGAATTTAGTGTCAGCCCATTGTGATGATGTGGAAATAGACTTGGAAAAGGTTAGAGAAAATGTTTTAATAAATATAGAGAAAAACTCGGTTTATGACAAAAAGCGTTTTGACTCCTTAAAGAGTAAAGTAAAGAGGTTTTCTGTAGGTGATTTCGTCCTGTTGCAAAACGAGGAGCGAAATCAAAGCAAGCTGGATCCTAAATATAAAGGTCCATATAAGGTTGTTGAAGTGTTGAACGGTGATAGGTACACGCTTAAGAGTTTATGTTCAAATCGAACTTACAAATATGCACATGAGAGATTACGAAAGATGCCGGATCACATATATGAAGAAGAAGATTAAACTTGTATTTGAATTTTGTACATTGTAAAAAAAAAAAAACGAAAAACAACATTATTGTAATAAATTATGATTAGTAACTTGTTAAATAGTAATTAATTGTGTCAGTGGACACTGCAGATCGCTAGATATAAGCGATAGTAATTAATTTGTGTCAGCGGACACTGCAGATCGCTAGATATAAGCGATAGTAATTAATTTGTGTCAGCGGACACTGCAGATCGCTAGATATAAGCGATAGTAATTGATTTGTGTCATGGGACACTGCAGATCGCTAGATATAAGCGATAGTAATTGATTTGTGTCATGGGACACTGCAGATCGCTAGATATAAGCGATAGTAATTGATTTGTGTCATGGGACACTGCAGATCGCTAGATATAAGCGATAGTAATTAATTTGTGTCAGTGGACACTGCAGATCGCTAGATATAAGCGATAGTAATTGATTTGTGTCACGGGACACTGCAGATCGCTAGAGATAAGCGATAGTAATTGAATTTGTGTCTAGTGAGACACTGCAGATCGCTAGATATAAGCGATAGTAATTGATTTGTGTCACGGGACACTGCAGATCGCTAGAGACAAGCGATAGTAATTGATTTGTGTCATGAGACACTGCAGATCGCTAGAGATAAGCGATAGTAATTGATTTGTGTTATGAGACACTGCAGATCGCTAGAGATAAGCGATAGTGATTGATTTGTGTCATGAGACACTGCAGATCGCTAGAGATAAGCGATAGTGATTGATTTGAGTCATGAGACACGGTGTTAAGCAAGGGCAAAAATTGTTGAGTGAAACAATCAGGAATGGCCGAAGTGGAGGACTTTTGATGAATTAAAACGACACCACACAGGGACGTGTGGAATGTCAGAATGGCCGTGTCGGCAGTGATGCCAAACTATTATGTTTGGATGTGGTCGCTACTCGCAGGTAGGTGGCGCTTGTGCTTCTCACTCACAAACAGAGGGCGCTATCGCGCTGAATAAAGAAATGTGTAAGAATAGCTGAATCAGCTGATGGGTGGTAGCACTGAATGAGAAAGGAGGCGTCAGAATTGGTTAATAAGCGAGAACGAACGCATCGCATCATGGCGAGTCGGCGGTTAAGAAATGCAAATGCGACATACATATATATTTATTTTATTTTCTTGAAATAAAAAGTTAATTTGTTTCCCTATATTAAACATAAATTTAAAATGTATAAATTTCGAAATAAAGCATTACGTAAATAAAGAAATTGAAATAAAACCACAGCACTTTGAATATTTTGGTCACAATCTATAAATTTATTGTGACGACTTTGGCGAGACTGAGCATACCTCAGCAAATAGGCAACGACTGCAAAAAAGGGTCGTTACAAGCTGTAAACGCAGGAATATGGAGTCATAACTATAATTCCCCAGCGCACGGAATTTGTTGAAGCACAAGCTGTTTGTAAATACAGGATACAATATTCGTAGAGTGTGATTTTCGAAGAGCTAAGCACAGAATTTTTAACTGACGCGAGTTAAGCTGTTGACGTAGGAATATGGAGTTATAACTATGATTCCCCAGCGCACTAAATTTATTGAATCACAAGTTGTTCATAAACACAAGAGGCTTTATTTTATATATCTATGCGTCTCTCGCATAACACACATAAAATAATAAATATAAATATATAATGGAACGTGCTGGTAATTCAATTCAAAAACTGGTAATTCAAAAAAATTCGTCCACACTGCTCGAAGGTGATTTCCAAAAAGAGACCGATTTCACAATTTCGTCCCCTTTTATTCGATCTTGTTGACGCTTTTAATTCCGCTATCTGGCTTGTTTACACCAAATGTGCATTTCTACGTCCACGAATTGTTTTTACATGT